GGGGGGAGGTAAAGTGCCTGGAGGGAGGATGCGAGGGAGGTGTGCGGAGTGGATTAGGGGTAGTGGTTTCAGCGCATCGTCGACAGGTTCGGCGTGCCGGCTAGTCGAGCCGAGCCGAGTCCAGCCGAGCCGAGTCCAGCCGAGCCGAGCGCGCGCCTCTTGCCCGCCCTGTCCCCCGTCCGCGGCGCCAGACTCAGTGCGGCTTGGACCGCGGCGGGGGGCGCGCGTGAGGAGGGGCGCGTTGGGGTCGGCACGGGTCGGTCGGCGCGCGGCGGGCGAGCGCGTGGTCGCGCCAGTGCCGAGGTGTGTGCGCGCGTGCAGTGACGTTATACAGCTGGATAACACAACCTTCTTCTCCGTCGCACTGGATAACTTGTTATTATTGTTTTATTCTACGAGCCCTCTTACTGTCCTCGCCCTTCTCTCTTGAAAATAAAAGAAACGGAAACAGATTAGAATAGATGTTTCAAAAAGGTTTATAGTTAATGTAGTGTGTACTCTTGTTACTCTCTCATTCCGTTTTGGTGGTAAATACTCTGCTACCCGAGTATAGTAGTAGCTTTGATCGATATGTGGTCGCTTTTCCTCACGTAAAGTGTGCGTTCTGCTAGGCAGAGGGGGGCACTTTTCCCCTTTGACCCTAAATAATCAGCTAATTGAAAGGTTTCTCTTTGGAGGCAGTGACCGACAGTTTAGTTTTTGCAGTGCTATAGGGTCGCGCTATCTTTGCATTTTCTAGGGGTTCCCGACAGGTGCACCCTACTTACAAAATGATTTCGGTGCGGCATCTTGAATCGAAAGCAACATCACTATTAAAAATTACAACAGTAAATAACTACAGAACGGACTGGTAATTTTGTAAACAGCGTAATCCTGTAGTTTGCACTGTACTCTATTCCGGAAGTTCTTTTCAAGCAATGTCAAGTCTGTATCCCTCAAATACTAGTCGAACAGATTTTGACCGTAGTATGGATCCACTGTAAAAAATATTAGTAATTTTACAGTTCAGTGGGCTGGGAATTCGCAACACATGGATTGGAAATTTACTGTTTGGGCTGTAAAGTAGCCTTTACATGCCCAGTGGGCTGGTAAAGAGCCACTTACAAGCCCACGCAAGTGAATTTACAGGCAACATTGGCCAGTAAATTTCAAGCCCTGGTAGCAAATTTACCGTTTGGGTTGAGAAAGGCTGCATTACCTGCCCACCTCAGAGGTAATTTCACAAGGAGTGGGCTGGAAAGCTTACTTTCGCAACCACCTGGAAGGGGATTTCCCTATACCGCTGCAAATTTCCTCGCCCTGGACAGGAGATTTCACCGTGATGGGTGGGAAAAGTAATCTTTCCAGCCCACGGACGGTAAAATTCAGGAGAGATTTCGGTTAAACGGAAATCGGCACAACAGGTCTTAAAAGCTGCAGCGGCACTCAAAGAAATGATGTGCTTGCCTGTTAAGCTCTGTCACAATCCGGCAAAACCGGGCAAAACTTCCACAAGGATTCTGCATTGCGATCAACTGCCGCCAGATGGCGTTGCAGTGATCGCATCTCATAAAAACCTAGTTAATCGCGTTTAATTTAAAATTCCTTTGCAAAGTGCCTTTTAATTTTACGTGGTATGTTTTATGAGGAACCAACCTAACCGACGACGATCGGCATTTGTTCCGAAAGTCAATCATATTCTAGAAAAACTATGTTAAATGCTAGCGCTCGGAAGGTCCCCGCAACGATGCCTTGTTCAGTACGGTAGTGCTCTCCTCGTCACGTCGTGGTGCGCCCACGGGTAAAGTCCCTTTCGTCACGGCAACTGCATGAGTTGTAGTTTCGACATGCCCCATGACACCATCGGTGTTAATTTTTTCCGAGCTGATAGTAAATGTTGGCGAATGTTTAAACAGTCCCTAAGGACTGTAGCATCGAGAAAGTGGAAGCGGTGGCTCCGGTGGAACTCGCACTCGACATATGCCCTGAGCATTCTCGCTACGCCCGCAAATTTCCACTCTCCTTGTGTGGCAACGCAGCAGAACGCTCCGCGGGCTGGGAATTCGCAGTTGGTGGGCAAGAAAGACAGATCTGCTAGCGCGACCTGCATTTTTGCAGATTGGTGGGCCGCAAAGGCTCCTTTCCAGCCCACGTAGTGAATTTACAGTTTGGGCTTGTAATGACAACCTTCCCTGCCCACTGGGCTGGTACCTTCGCGGGTGGTTGGGCCGGGAATTCACAGACCATGTGGGCATGTAAATTCCCAGCCCAGCGCGTGTTCAGGTGCGTTGCCACGCCGGGTCGGTAAAATTCACGCTGGATTTTTTTACCGTGGAAGTACAGGACGATCTGTATGAATTCTATTTCTGGGTACAGAATTTGTAACAGTGATTCTTTCGGGTGCACACTGCCGCTCGCCCAGTTCTCGAGCAACATCAAGATGAGAAACTGCCCCGCCGGCAGCCGAGCTGCCCGGGCTCCTGAGGCTGTAATACTTCATTCGGACTCCATTGAAGGGGACATGATGCTGTTCGCAGAGCGCCCCGAGCGGATCGCGAGCACCGCCGTGTACACGCTGTCCTCCTCCGTAGCGAGGGGACGTAACTTTAACAACCGCCATTTTCCATCCCCTTGTGGGATAAAGAATGGGCCGTATATGCGCCGTACCGTCCCGAAGGATCCTTTGGTCGATCCCCTGCAAAACTTGCATCTTGGCGCCGTAGTTAAAGCAGTTTGGGTCGTGCACATTCTACGGGCACATACCCAGTAGGGGTACAAATATCATTCCAAGGCCCGGAAGGCTCTTGACCACCTCGGGAAATGTTTGTTCTCCAGGGGTACAATTATAGCTCTGGTACATCCTGTCTTGTCCAAGGGTCATGTGGTCTTTACCCCCACCCC